GCTTTTCAGAATGATGAGCTTTGTAAAAATCGACGCGTTTCAGAAAGGCGGGGCATAGAGGAGCAACAATAATGTACATTATGTGGAAAAATTTTTGTTTTTTTAACCTTAAACCGCATAAACACATTGCATTACACCAAATACACAACATAATGTTCTTTTTAACAACGTCATATGACCCCTTTAAATGTTTTTGAAAAGTCTCATATGTTCACCAAGGTTGCATTTATTTGATCAAAAATACAGTAAAAATGGTAATATTGTGAAATATTGCTGCAACTTAAAATAACAGTTCTCTATATCATTATTTTAAAATGTAAATTTTTTTTTTTTTTGGATGAACTGTTAAAAAGAGCAGTATTTGTTAGAACATTTTTCTTTTTTCTAACAATGTAGCAGTACTTACTCAATTTAATGCATCCTTGCTGAATAACAGTGTTAATTTCTTTAAAAAATAAATAAATACCAAACCAACCCCAAAAAAGCAAACTGCCATGTTTATTGAAAAAAGACTATGCCAAGATAATAAATAAATAAAAGCAACATAACTAGGCCATTTTCAAACCAAAAAAACAAGTAAAATCTCACTGAAATACAACCATTTTTTGTTGAGTTTGAAAGCATGCTTCATTAGAAAGTCAAAACCCCTTCATTGTGTACAGGTCAATTCAAACAAAACATCTCCCTCTGCCCCACAATCACACTTTGACACAGGCAGGAATGGGCACAAAGAGGCTAGAATTACAGCCGAGTCAAGATTGTTTGTTTTGTTTTGGTGCTTTGCCACTCAGGCCTCATATTGGCTGAATAAGGCTATGGATGGATTTCCAGTGTAGCCCATTAGGCCTGCTCTTCCCCAATCCTCCAAATTAACAAGTATTCAGCAGCAATAATCCATTACAGCACAGAACACAGCAAACGAGAGCGAGACAGCGGGGTCTCCGCTAAGAGAAGCTGGCTTATTTGGGTAATCCTCTTTTGTTATGGCCTATGTGCTCCCAGACAGAGTGTCCAGCGCTGGGGTCCAAGGGGGGCCTAATACAGGGCCTGACCCACAGCCTGCCCCTTCACAGAGAGGAATGCCATTTCAATAGTTCGGGGGAGCGAGAGAGGGAGGCACTGACAGAGCAGGAATCGACTGAACAAACAAACGCACAGAACTGATTACACCAGCCTTTCATTTGAAGACAAAAGGGGTAAGAGGGGAAGAGTGACGCCATCACTAGTCCGTTTCGCTGGCCATCAGCTTTGTTTGGTCATCAGTGAGCACAGGGCAGGCCTGTGATTGGATGAAGAGGCTGAGTGAATCATACAGTCATAGGGACAGTGACATGTACCAAATGGCATCTGGGCCAAGAGCTCCCTTTCTCTTTCATTCTTGTTCCTTTCGTTATTAGGCTGAAGACCGTTGGCTCCAGACAGCATGTCAGCTGGGAGAAGCAGGTGTTCTTATAATTCAGTGTGTTTCTGGGTGAATTACACTAGCAGGTGTTTTTCTCAAGAACTCTTTATTTATATGATTAATTGGGGTCTTCTTGGAAAAGGTTCACATAGACATGCCTATGGATTACGTTCAAGTGTGTGTGTAGTACCTGATCTCATAGGCAATCTCCTTCTCGTACTTCTTCTTGTTACGGGCACGGCAGCAGCAGAAGAGGAGGAGGGCGAGAAGAATGAGAACCAGCAGAATGCAGATTACTACACCTGCGATGACGCCAGCTGTGTTTGGGGCTGCGAAGGGCCAGAGAGAAAGAGACTTTGAGATAAACAACTTTAGAGTCTAAGACATTACCCATAAGCCCATTCACCACATCACTGTAATCAGACAATGAGCGAATGACAAAGATGCACCACCTTGGATGTTGACTGAAATTCAGACTATGCTATTTTAATCTTAAAAGAGGAATAGGCAGGCTTATGAAGACTTACGTTGTGTGATGTTGACCTCCACCAAACACTCTTCTGTTCCAACACGGTTTTTAGCAATGCATTTGTATGTTCCTGAAGCTACCTCAGTCGCGTTCCTCAGACTCATGGTGCCCCCGACTGGATCTGTGCACAGCAGCAGACAAATTCTTAATTTTAACTGAGGCATTTGACAGAGTATGACAGTTTATCAAAATTGTAAAAAAAAAAAATAAATAAAAATTCAAGGTACATGAGACAAAGGAATTTACCCAGCACTGCCAGGGGCGGCAGCAGTTTATTGCCTGTGGTTCTTTCCCAAATGTACTGCAGTGGTTGTGTGCCCTCCACAGAGCTACACCTCAACACCATATCTTTCCCTGCATGAGTCTGACCCTCTGCATAACATCTGGGTTTAGAGGGGCGCACTGTGGAAGAGGAAACAGGAAGATGAGATCATTAGAAAAAAGAAAAAACTACAGTATAAATGCTTCATGTATAAATGCTACATTTGAGATATTCCAATTTGCAGACTTATCAGTCAGCAATATAAATCGTTCTAATCACATGGTGAAATTAATTAATTGTCCGTGAATAACATTTGAATAATATTTTTTAATAATTAGTAGTAGTAGTAGTAAGAACAAAGTATTTAAGTTAACAAAAAAAATAAATTTATGCATAAAAGATAATAAACACAAAGGCATAAAACTAATTTAAGGTTACAAGATATCATGCTAAAGATTTCTAAACACATCTGTACAAAGTGTATATTGTCTTGTGCATATAAATCTACGTAGTACATATGAGTATAGCAAAGTTTTATGTATGATACCACAAGTTTAGCCAATTATCTCAAGGAGGAAAATGTCATCATTCCACTCCGACCAGCTAAAAGCTCAAATATCATCTCCCATCTCGCATATGGTGCATCATGGATATAAAGGACGAGTCCCTGAGGCCCTTCTTTCACACTCCACCCATATTCATTCTCGCTGCATCATAACTAATCACAGCATAGGAAGCCATGATCACGGTAATGGATACAGCTGCTGCTATTACAAGTGCTGTCAATCAACTTAATTAAAATCAGAGCGCAGTGGATGTCAACATTCTTTGAGATAAAAGAGCAAACAAAAGCAGAAGAAGAGGGTGGAAAAGTGGCTGGGTATTGTAAGACAGACAGCATGTGTTTTCTAAAGAGATATGCATTAAAAACAGCAGGGAAAGTGGGTGAAATCCATGTATGGAAGGAAGGGAGGGAGGGATAGAGATTAGAGCCCGATCGATATGGGTTTTTTGGGGCCGATGCCGATATTAGGGAGTAAAAAAATACCGATATCGATATATCGGCTGATATTCTTTATGTGTAGGCTTCATAACAGTACAGTATAGTCAAAAGTTTGGACACACTTCCCATTCGTATCTCTAAACTTTTGACTGGTACTGTATATAGAATACAGTATATACACAAACACATTTTTTGCAATGAAAACTCAAATGTGGTGATCAAACACTTGTGTGTCACTATGTGACAAATAGGCCTATGTAATGAAAGCAGGGTATTTAACAATTTAACAATAAACTTTATTATTCAAAATGAGTCTGACATCAGTGCACTTAACAGTAAACTTATTATAAATAACTTAAACACAAATAGAACAAAAAACTTGAATTAAAAAAATAAACAAGATAACTGTGTAGTGCAAGCTACTGCAAACCAACAGGGGCAGGTTTATGCAGGAAGCACAGCTTTTCCAAATGTAAACATCTAAAATGAATAAATAATAATAATGAATAATATTTTTTCACAATTTCTGTGTTGTGTATATTCTGGTCATCAAATGAACATGCAGAACATAAGGATTCATATTTAAAATAGTTTTTTGCAGTTTAATATTCACAGACACTAGTCTATATAGCGATTTGATTTAAGTGTAGGCCTACTGACCTGCTTTTTATTTATTCATCAAAAATAAGACAAATTCCATGAAATTCCGCGTTATACAGTAAATTCCATTTTTATGAATGGATTCTGCGATTCCGTCTGCGTTTTCCACCATCGTGGAAATCACAGGGCCCTACTTATGTAGCAAACGAGTATGATAAGCTCATTGTGAGAGTAAAAGACGGGGACATTGTTTATTTACTTTATAGCATTGAGTCTCACCAACTAGGTGACATCATAGCGTTAAATCATCATTCAACAGACTCAAGCTACCACCGCACTGCCGTCTATTGGACTGCAGAAAGATACTAACTTTTCAATCTGCTACGTTACTGACTGTACTGACAAACTATGCTGACACACCGTGTCTGCGCCGCAACAGGACGCGACAAAGTGACCGTTGAAAATCATTTGAACTTTGTGTCAGTGCGTCATAAATAGAACGAGGCATCAGTTTGCTGTCGGGATTTGTCGTGTCGTGTCGCACCGCATCCAGTGTAGACAGCATCACTGATTATAATGGGTTCTATTGTATTTTGTCGCACTGCGCCGCTCGCGTCCGGTGTAGACACCCAGTTAGGAAATGTGATGTGACCGATGTGATAAGCATGAGTTCTGGGTATAAACACAAGCACTGACTGAGTGGCCGCGATCAGCTCCGGTGGCCGGAGACACGTAATGCGCTGCAGACACGTGCAGTGATGCACAGATCATCAGCTCTAACGTCACGGAATCTGCCGTTAAAAATGAACCATCCATTCATCATATCATCATGCAAAACTAAGAATTAGAATCATTGTAATGTGATGATCAAATATAGGTGC